TATGGAAGCTCGTGCTGTTAAAAAGGGTGTTAAAAGTTTATTTGATTGGTTGGCTGAGGTATTTATCAAGAGATGGCCTACTGACAGAGAGCTGGAAATACCTGATATCCCTTGGCTTAGTGTTGATGAAGGGATTGTAAGACTCAGGCAAATTGGTATGCTCGAGTGGATTCGCAGTACAACAGCAAATCCTCCACAATGGGAGGGCCCAGAGGACATGCCTTTTACGATTTTATAAGATGGAAAGTACTGAGAGAGACACCAGAACGTTTGAAGAGCTTTGTTTTTGCTCTTTTCCTTATGCCGAATCTTACAGTTGGAGATGCTGCTGCTCAATTGCATAAATTAAATGTAAATATAATAGGCGTAACAGGACCTTGGAGAAGGGGGTCAGGTGGCAGTATTGAATTACCAAAGACAAGGTGAGTGTACTTATCATAATGGACGGCAAATGCAAAACAATACCTACAATGGCATGACACGAATGGACCTGTGGTACTGGCTAATCAATCATGGTTTTCCCAGGGACCACATACATAAGAAGCCTCCTAAGTTTTTATTTTATTTGTATAAGAAGAAAAGCTCTAGGACGCATGACAGGAAGTCAGTATTGGACCGTAGCAATAGAGAATCTCGCTCAGTCAACCAATTTCCAGACTTGAGACAGTTTACAGACCCAGAACCCCTCGAATGAAGGGAAGGCTGGGTTCCCTTGAGGAAGGACTTTGTCACAGTACCAAGGAGTTATGCTGTTTGCCTCTCACCCATCCTTCCCTAGAGGGACCTGCTACCTTTTATGAGAGTAATTGAACATTTGGGGAAAGGAAATAATCAGACTTTCCTCGGCCAATTGGATACTGGTTCTGAATTGACACTGATTCCGGAAGATCCTAAAAAGCATTGTGGCCCTCTAGTTAAAGTAGGGGCTTATGGAGGTCAGGAGATAAATGGAGTTTTGGGCTGAAGTCCGACTGACAGTGGGTCCAGTGGGTCCCCGAACTCATCCTGTGGTTATTTCCCCAATATCAGAATGTATAACTGGGATAGATATACTTAGGAATTGGCAGAATCCCCACATTGGTTCCCTGACCTGTGGAGTGAGGGCTATTATGGTTGGAAAGGCCAAATGGAAACCACTGGAATTGCCTCTGCCAGGGAAAATAGTGAACCAAAAACAGTATCGCATCCCTGGAGGGATTTCAGAAATTAGTGCTACCATTAAGGATTTGAAAGATGCAGGGGTGGTGATTCCCACCACATCTTCCTATAACTCTCCTATTTGGCCTGTGCAGAAGACAGATGGGTCATGGAGAATGACAGTTGCCTATCGAAAACTTAATCAAGTAGTGACTCCAATTACAGCTACTGTACCAGATGTGGTTTCCTTACTCGAGCATACTAATATGTCTCCTGGTACCATTCCAACCAAAATTCAAGGGCCTTCTACCTCAGTGAAATTTCTAGGAGTTCAGTGGTGTGGAGCATGCAGAGACATTCCTTCTAAGATGAAGAATAAGTTGTTGCATTTGGCCCCTCCCTCCACTAAGAAAGAAGCACAATGCTTGGTGGGCCTGTTTGGATTCTGGAGGCAGTAGATTCCTCATCTGCGTGTGTTACTACAACCCGTATATCAAGTGACTCAGAAGGCAGCTACCTTTGAGTGGGGCCTGGAGCAGGAAAGGGCCCTTCAACAGATCCAGGCTACTGTCCAAGCTGCTCTGCCCATTGGGCCATATGATCCAGTAAGAAAGAAGCACAATGCTTGGTGGGCCTGTTTGGATTCTGGAGGCAGTAGATTCCTCATCTGCGTGTGTTACTACAACCCGTATATCAAGTGACTCAGAAGGCAGCTACCTTTGAGTGGGGCCTGGAGCAGGAAAGGGCCCTTCAACAGATCCAGGCTACTGTCCAAGCTGCTCTGCCCATTGGGCCATATGATCCAGCAGATCCGATGGTGCTTGAGGTATCAGTGGCAGATAAAGATGCTGTTTCGAGTCTCTGGCAGGCCCCTATAGGGGAATCACAGTGGAGGCTGTTGGGATTTTGGAAGAAGGCTTTGCCTATTCTCCCTTTGAGAGACAGCTCTTAGCCTGCTATTGGGCCTTAGTGGAAACTGAATGTTTGACAATGGACCACCAAGTCACCATGAGACCAGAGCTGCCCATCATGAGCTGGGTGTTATCTGACCCCCCCAAGCCATAAAGTAGGCCGTGCACAGCAACAATCCATTATCAAATGGAAGTGGTATATATGTGATCAGGCTTGAGCAGGCCTAGAGGGCTCAAGGAAGTTACATGAAGAAGTTTCCCAAATGCCTATGGTTTCTACTCCTGTTACGATGCCTCCTGTTCTCAAGCATGCACCTATGGCTTCATGGGGTGTGCCCTATGATCGGTTGACTGAGAAAGAGAAGACTAGGGCTTGGTTTTCAGATGGTTCTGCATGCTATGCATGCACTACTCAGAAGTGGACAGCTGCAGCATTACAGCCAATTTCTGGAACAGCCCTGAAGGACACTAGGGAAGGAAAGTCTTCACAGTGGGCAGAACTTCGGGCAGTGCACATGGTCGTGCATTTTGTTTGGAAGGAGAAATGGCCAGAAGTGCAATTATATACTGGACTGGCCTGGGATCAGGGCCGAGGAAAGATGCTGGTCTAGGGCAGCTGGTGCTATGGCACCCAGAGATGCAAAGGGAGATGGGGGTGGGAAGAGGACCAAGGGCTCCTAGGAACTTCAGGGAGGAACTGGTTGGTCAAGATGCAAGGATCAGGAAGCAGTGGTGGCTCTTAGTCAAGAGGTCAGGCCGGATGTCTGGGGTGCCTAGAGAAGAAATGGGCCAGTACCCAGGCTAGGAGGGGAGATGGGCGGGGCAGCTGTGAGGGTGAAAGATTGGGGGAGTCAAGGCACAGTGGATGCCACTGGACCTACCCAGGAAAGAGGTTGGTGGGTTGTGTAGCCCAGGGAAGCAGAGGGAGGTGAGGGCGGGACCAAGGTTTTAAGTATTAAACTTAGAGCTATTAGCTATAGCAAATAATTATCAATAAATAGAAGATAAAAATGAGTTAAAAATTCGAACTTTGGGGCCTTTCAATTTATTGATAAATACTCAGGTTTTTAGAAAAGGTTGTGTCTTAATATAATCACTTTTTAAAAAGTCAGTTTTAGGGGGATCTTTCCTAAAAACTTGTTTCCCTCATTAGGTGGAACTCAACGTTTTTATTTTGCCATGTGTGTATTTGTGTGTGTGTGTGTGTGTGTGTCTGTGTTTGTAGGTACATATGCAATTGTGTGCACATGGGTTTACATGTACAAATGCATGTGTGTGTACATGTGTATATAGGCCAGAGGTCGATACTGGGTATCTTAATTGTTCTTCACCTAGTTTTTGAGACACTGTCACTTGGAGCCTGCTGATTCAGCAAAATGACCTGGTCTTTGAGTTCTGGGGATCCATCTGTCTTTGTCGCTCCAGTGTTGGGGATACAAGCACACACTTCAGTCCCTGGCTTTTAATGTGAGTGCTGAGGACCTGAATTCAGGTCCTCATGTTTGTGTGGAAAGCACTTCACTGAGTTGTTTGCCCAGCACTTGAACTTTTTAGTGACAGTCCAGTGTTACTGTTAAGAGAATAACATATAGGATTGTGGTGCTGCTATTGAGGGTAACCGGGAACTTCAACACCACTTTCTGATTTTCCATTATTCTGTCATAGAAGTAGAAATACGTGTGTAAAAGATAATTGGAATAACTTTATCTGCGTGTTTAATTACCCCACCACCACCATTAAAAAGAATGTTTAATCAAGGTCTGTGTTTTCATTTAAAATCCACAACCTGTTTTTGCCAAGTAAAGCTCATCTGGTTTGACAGAAACGTCAGTAGAAAGTGTTTCTGTACAGTGTTGTGCCGTGTGCTCCAATGATCAGAGGCCCTCCATCTCAAATAAGTTTGCATTAGGAACAGCCCTCACCAGATCAGGCAGCACTGGAAGCGTCTGCACGATCTCAATGAAGAGTCCAAGGGAAACCCAGAGGAGTGACTTCACTCTCAAAGACATTCTAATTCTAGAATGTGGAGAGTCAGGTATTGAAAATGCAGAACCGTATAGTCCACTGATCATCAGTGTGAACAAGGCAAGCAGGCATTGAGCAGATCTGTATTTAGTTACAGGGGTATGCTTGCATATATGTGCATATAGACATGTTTGTATATTTACATTTTTATAGTGTATTAGTTGATGTGTTTGGGTTTTATAATTAACTAGCACTGTCTGTTTTATTTGACAGGAATCTTCTTGACAGAGACACATTTTCTAAATCTGACCCAAGTAAGTGTAACTGACTTTACAAAATATTCTATTTCACTTGATTTTGCAAAAACTATATGAAACTCACTGTTTCTGTTTTCATGTTTTTTTTTTGTTGTTGTTTTTGGGTTTTTTTTGAGTAAAGGCAGAAGGGGAAGGGTCTCAAGTTCTTTTTGTTTCTTGGCCTGGTCAGTATGGTAGAGATTTATCAGCATTTCTTAGGTGAAAAAGCAGGATTCCAGTGCAGGAACATTTCTCTTAATTTAAACCTCCAGGTGTGACCCTGTAGTAGAATTACTATTTGAAAGACAACCAGATGGGACATATTTTTAAAGTACTTTAGTCCCAGAGTACTGTGTTTTATTAAAAGCGAGAAGTACTGTATAAAAGCATCTACTAGGTGATGTGCTAAGAGGCACCTGGCAGGAGCTGAACTGTCTGGTTCTTAATTAGAAATACTGAAAAATAGGAATACCTTTGTGATGGATAGCTTTAGTGTCAACTTGACACACCTGGGTTGAGGGAGCCTCTATTGGACTGGCCTGTGGCCATGTCTGAGGGGCGTCTTCTTGATGAGTGATGTGGGAGGGCCCAACCCACTGTGGGTGGTGCCACCCCTGGGCAGGTGGGCTTGTGTTGCATAAGAAAGCTGGCTGAGCAGGGGCTAGGGGAGCAAGCCAGTAAGCAGCAATCCCCCATGGCCTGTGCTCCAGCTCCTGCCTCCAGGTTCCTGCCCTGAGTTCCTACCTTGGGCTCCCTGATGAACTGTGACCTGGGAGATGTAAGCTGAATAAACCCTTTCCTCCCCAAGTTGGTATTGGTCAGAGTGTTTTGTCACAGCAATGAAGAAACAAACTAGGACAACCTTACAGAGTTAAAGGAGTCAATTAGAGTTTCCATATTTTGTGACACTTAGAAGTTGATGTCTATATCTCTACAAATAGGCAAACATATTGTGGTTTAATTAAAAGGCAAAAGTTTCTGTCAGGCACTACAAGATTCTTCAGGTCATCCTTAGAGGAAACCATTGGAATTTTGGGCTAAATTCATGTGCCTAATTTGACAAGTGGGTGAGTTGATTCTTATCCTGTAGTCTTTGTAAAGAGCCTTTAATCTCCATTTTGTAGACTTCTTGTTGACAAAAATTGAAGACGTATAAAAACATTAAATGTAGAGTTTGATTTGCCTCAGGTTGTCATTTGTATGGTAGCTCTGAGCAATTTAAGGATCTAGGAAGAGTTTACGTAGTTTAGTAGGCATAAGTACCAACAGTGATATTTGAAATTGAAGTATGGTTTTACAATTTCTCTACATCTGCAGCATAATGTAAAGACATTATCAAACAATTATTACATTGTGTTCTAAACTACATTCATTTCAAATTCTGAATGTTGATGTAGTTAGCATTCTGATTCTTTAAAATAATTTTAATTGTTGGAAGATTTGCTAGCGATTTTCTCGCAAGGATAAAGCTAGGAATTAGCCATTTGATTTTGATGTAGCTTTGGGCAACTGAAACGTTTCAAATTCCTTACATTCACACCTGACATTTATATATGTGTATGTTTTTCTTTTTTATAGTTTGTGTCTTATATGTACAAGCAGTTGGAAATAAAGAATGGAGAGAGGTAAGAGAAATAATGCTCTCAAAGTCACTATTCCAAAGATATATTTTGTCTATCTTAAAATGAAACTTTCCTGTTTTCAGTTATTTAAGTCTTTCCCAACTCAACGATTGCGCTTCATTCTCAGTTTTTGAAAGCTGTCTTTGTAGTTCACTTTTACTGAATGTCATTCGTGAGCTTCTCATGAACTGTTCTGGACCTGAGACTTCCTCAGTCAGGCTGTTAGCTCATCACCGTTCCCTAGGCCTGCTTCCTATTTTCTACAAATATGGCTCATTAACATCAATTGGTTTTTGTCTTGACTTGCTTCCTAGATTTTTATTCATTTAGTCATTTATCCAGAGGTATGGATTTATCCAGATTTATCCAGAGGTGTGGATTCTCTTTTACAGATTAAAAAAAGCAGGGCGACAACTCATAGATCTTCAAGATTCAGTGTGTGTGTGTGTGTGTGTGTGTGTGTGTGTGTGTATGTGAAAGAGAGAGAGAGGGAGATGGTATGGTGTGGTATGATGGTATATGTGTGAGTGGTACATGCATATGTACCTGTCTGCGTTCACATGCAGAGGCCACAAGAGGACCCCAGGTACATTTCTCTGTTAACCTTCTACATTATTGCCTTGACACTGAACCAGAAGTTTGCTGTTTTGTCTAGGCTGGTGGGCCAGTGAGCCCCCAGGATTCACTCATTTTTGCCCCCCAATGCTGGGGTTACAGGCCTGGGCAGCTATACCTGGCATTTTTATGTGGTTGTTTGGGATTTGAATTGGGGTCCTCAGGCTAGCATGGCAAGTGCTTTCCCCACTGAGCCATCTAACCAGCTCCCACGCTGTCGTTGGTCTGTCTTACTGCAGCATTATCCTTGTCCCCTCTCTCTTGCTCATTTCTCTACTTATGCGTTGGTTCTTCCCAAAATGCATCCTGTCACTTCCCTTTCTCCACGCCCTGCAGCAACTCCATGCAACTTGTGACTGACCATAGGTGCCAGGCTACATGGGGCTGAGCATCTGCCTGGAGAACAGTATCATGTCAGGGACCAATAAGCACAGAACCAGGCACTTGGCCCGGGCAAGTCCTTAATGATGAGACAGCTGAAACTTCATTACATAAGTGGAGTTTGAGGGATGGTGATATAAAATATTTCAGAACTGAACCAGAGGATTTCTTCTTATAGGGTGATGAGAGGCTGAACTCAGAGTCTCCCTTGGTTGAATTTTTTCCTATATTTTACTTCTTAGGCAATAAAATGTAAAATTTTTATTTAATTAAAAAGTTCTCTCATAATAATAATGCGTAAGTACTGTTTCAAGCCCTTTGCAGTTATTAGCTAATTTAATTTTCACAACAAATGTAAGAGTCATTGGCTACCATAATCACAGAGACACAAAATGGATACGCAATTGATTAATGATACTTGGTTATAGATGACAGAGCGCAGATTTCAACACAGGCTGTCTCTCTAGGTCCAGAACTCTTGTTAAATGACTTTAGTATGCCAAATTCCTATCTGATGCCATTCTGGTTTTATACATGGATGGGAGTTTATGTCATGGGGAGGGTTATTATTTTCCTAAGCTTGATTATGGAAGATGGGAATACAAGGCTTACTCTTTAAGAAATATTTACGCATATTATTAAAATAAAACACTGAGGTGTAATAGGATATTTGGTGTCTATTGTGTGTCCTTGAGGGAGCAGACCATAGTAGTTGGAGGAAACTCTGCTTCAAAGGGGATGTGAAAACAAAGGAACAATTGAGAAGGCATCAGAAACAGGACCACAGAATGGGCAGAAACAGGACCACAGAATGGGTAGAAACAGGACCACAGAATGGGCAGAAACAGGACCACAGAATGGGTAGAAACAGGACCACAGAATGGGCAGAAACAGGACCACAGAATGGGTAGAAACAGGACCACAGAATGGGCAGAAACAGGACCACAGAATGGGTAGAAACAGGACCACAGAATGGGCAGAAACAGGACCACAGAATGGGTAGAAACAGGACCACAGAATGGGCAGAAACAGGACCACAGAATGGGTAGAAACAGGACCACAGAATGGGCAGAAACAGGACCACAGAATGGGTAGAAACAGGACCACAGAATGGGCAGAAACAGGACCACAGAATGGGTAGAAACAGGACCACAGAATGGGCAGAAACAGGACCACAGAATGGGTAGAAACAGGACCACAGAATGGGCAGAAACAGGACCACAGAATGGGTAGAAACAGGACCACAGAATGGGCAGAAACAGGACCACAGAATGGGTAGAAACAGGACCACAGAATGGGCAGAAACAGGACCACAGAATGGGCAGAAACAGGACCACAGAATGGGCAGAAACAGGACCACAGAATGGGCAGAAACAGGACCACAGAATGGGCAGAAACAGGACCACAGAATGGGCAGAAACAGGACCACAGAATGGGCAGAAACAGGACCACAGAATGGGCAGAAACAGGACCACAGAATGGGCAGAAACAGGACCACAGAATGGGCAGAAACAGGACCACAGAATGGGCAGAAACAGGACCACAGAATGGGCAGAAACAGGACCACAGAATGGGCAGAAACAGGACCACAGAATGGGTAGAAACAGGACCACAGAATGGGCAGAAACAAAGTTGTGAATGGAGATTGGAGGTGCTAGCTTCCATCACCTGCTTGTTTTGCTATGAAATACCGTAGTTTGGGTAAATTATGAAGAAAATGTTTATTTCCCCTTATTCTGGAAGTGATGGAGTTCAACATCAGTGTTGAGGGGCCCACAATTTATGAGGGCCTTCTTGTGGCATCCATGACAGAAAGAAGACGAGCAAGAGAATATTGTCCCTGGCTGGGGAAAACTCACAAACTCATCCTTATTCCAGAGACGCACTCCCTTCCTCCGGAACACCCTCCGAGAAATGCCATCCGTTCACTTACAAGAACATCAGCCATTGACCTCTTACAAGTCCCGCCTCTTAGCACTATTGTACAGGGATAAAACTTGTTAACACATGAACATTGGAGGAAATCTTATAGATAGCAACAATTTGAAGTCATTTTCAACAGTTGCTTTCCTGTTGAAAGTATTAATGAAGGAGAGAATGGTGTGGGAGACAAAAGAAGGGCAGGTGCGAGAGACAGGACGCAGTGCTTAGCAACCGAATGAGCTTGCTGGATAAGAGAAAGGACAATTCAATCTGTTGTATTTGATAATCTTCCTAAGACTCTTGAGAGACAGTTTCCTTAGCTTGAAACCTAGGACAGTGTGGGTTAAGGCATGTGTATTCCTTCTATGTGACTCTGTTTCTCCGTGTGTCACATGATGGTAGTGATTCTGGCTCACGCATTTGTTCAGAGAATAAATATGCACTCTGGTAACAGTATCTGGCATATAACAGGTGCTGCACAATTAGGGAGATGTTGGGTTTCTAAGAGGTAAAACAACTTGCCCAAGGACAAAACAACTAACAAGTAATAATGTTCTACATTATAAAATCCTGTAAAATTGTTTGTACGTGTTTAGCAGTTGATAGTAAAATGACCTATGCGAAGTACTTGGCCTCAAACCTAATCTGAAACTGGTTTACACCACTGCACAAAGCTGATGCTGAGGTAACACTGACACATGTGCATGCTTACATGAAGAAAGTGATGCAGGTGTGTTGAACCACATGAAACTGTCATTTTTATAAGTAAAAACAGAGTTTGGGCAATTTCATTTGACTCAATCTGATGCTATTGTATTGTACTTTTCTGGGAGAAAATTGGAACTGTTAACTTTTTATTTCTACATTTTGAGGGCTGGAAGCCATGCCATATGGATGAGGAAATGTGTGTTCAGAAACAGCGGTGAAGGCTGGATAGTCACGACTGCCCTTGAATCCTTAGTCTTTCCATTTTGTTCTGGGAGAAGCAAAAAATTTGGCCTCAAAGTTAGAGAGACAAGAGTATAACGTAGTAAGCGAGACCTTCCTACCTTAGTTCAGTGTTCTGGAACTGTCTGGGGGTGGTGACAGGAAGCATCCAGGTGTGGCTGCACTAACCCACCAGGAGCTTCTGCTTAGTGCCACTGTCCTTGTAAGTTTGTGATTTTATGATATTAATTTTAACACTTATTCCAAATACAAACACTGAACATTGTTTTATCAGGATGAGAATTAGCTGTGCAGATACTTCAAATCAGGCTAGGAAAATATGGATACTTTATTAATAATTTAAAAATATCTATTCAGGCCAGGCTGTGGTGGCACAGGCCTTTAAACCCAGCACTCGGAAAACAGAGTCAGGTGCATTGCTATGAGTATCAGGCTAGCCTGGTCTACATAGAGAGTTCTAGACCAGCCAGGACTACATAATGAGGCCCTGTCTCTAAAAACAAATTAATAGTGGGATATTTTTTCCTCACCAAATCTATAGCATAGTTTTCTTAGTAACTTTGGTTTATAAGTAAAACCAAATTTACTCACTTAGTGATCTACATTCCCCAATACTATAGTGGTTGCATTTTTATTTAAATTAAGTTGGATTATCAAAAGTATTTTTTTATAATTTTATTTTATGTGTATGAGTGTTATGCCTGCATGTATGTAAGTGCGTCCATGTCATGAAATGCCTACCAAGGTCAGAGCCATCAGATCCCCCGGAACTGGAGTTGTGGATGGCTGTTAGCCATCATGTGGGTGCTGGGAATTGAACTCGGGGTCTCTGCAAGAGCAGCCAGTGTTCTTAACTGCTGAGCCATCTCTTCAGCCTCAAATTACCCAAAGTATCAGCATCTCATGTTCTGAGACGAATTATACTACATTTAGATAATGGGGCAATTGGCAAAATGCTTAAATGAGAAGCTAAATAGTTCAAATAAATACAAGATTATTTTAAAGCAATCTCAATCTGTAGTTGAAACCTGCAATTTTAAAATTATGTCTGACAGTATTAGAATTATCTTTTTCAATAAATTTTAATGATTGTGAATTACAAAAAGCTCTGGAAATAATGGATGTTTTAAAATTAA